TCAACCCACACCTCATGCATGTTAGACACATGATCTATCACAGCTACCTTCCAGCTCCCAGGACTCTGAACAACTTATTTGAAGGAAAAAAATACACACACATACTCGTTGGTATCTCTTTGACTTAGTCTGTGCCAAGACAACTGAGCATAAATTCAAAAAGCTTGGGATCTTGTTCAAGACTCTTTGTCATCAGCCTATCGTTCCTTCAATGCATGTCCAAGCTTTGCAGTTCAGGCAACGCGCTGCAACATTTCCCACGAAGTGAAATTTTCCAGGACGTGATTTGATTTTTCTCACATCCCCAGTTAGCAGTCTTGACGGAGCTCATACTTAAAAACTACAAGCATGGTGGAGATACACTGGCACCGATTCATCTAAAAAAAAATCACGGCATATTTAATTTTGCTCTTCAACTTGTGAAAAAATGGTTATGTCTCTTCTGGTAAATTTTATTGGATGATTTTCTATAGCATGGCGCTCCATCCCTGGCTGTACATCAGAAACCCTGCAAGGCTGTTTAAACATACAGATGCCCAAGGCCCTGCTGCCAGAAATTCTGAATCTGTAACTGCTATTTGTATATTTGAAAGCTCCACAGGTAATTCTGATGGGCGGCCAGGGTTGAGAACTGCTGTGCCATGATATGTCTACAAGTGTTTCTTCTGCAGGAATGGAATGTAAAGGTGAGTTCATTCTTAAATTTTGCAAGCAGCAGTTCAACGGTGAGCCATATTTTTATGTCACAACTCAGTAGAGAAGGAACGAGAGTAATCACAGAAGACAAGGGTTATGATCTGTTCCACAGTACAGCGTAAGTCATGGTGGTCCCTCCGAACACCGGCATCTGCTTCTATTTCACAGCTATCTGCTGCCGGATGTGACCAAGTCCTTCAGCTGCTGGGTCACCTCATTCTCTGAGATCTTGATAAAGCTGATTTAAACCTTGTTACATGAACAGGGGAAAACTCAGAGACCTTTCTTTTATCATTGGGAAAGAAGACATGAGTATGGACTCTACCCTTTATGTCTCCACGTTGCTGTTCCTCTGGTTGCCACAAGGTGATACTCCACTGCATAAAGCTTTGACACCTTCCTTCCCAGAAGCCCCACTATCGCCAATGGAGATGCTAGCAAACTTCAGAAATCCCTTCCCATGGCTAGATTGCTTGACTGGGCTCTCTTGCATATACACACACACCGTCCAGCTACCAACCCCAGTCACCAATATCTGCTGCTTTCCCAAAGTAAGTGTAAGAATCAACTTTCCTTCCAGTAACAAAATACCTGAGACAGCCTACTTAAAAAGAAAAAAGGTTTCAGGAGAGTGGTGCACAACCATCAATCCAGCTACTGGGAAGGCTGAGGTAGGAGAATCACAAGTTCAAGGCCAGCATGGACAACTCAGTGAGAGCTTATCTCCAAAACATGGTTTCTATCAGCTCATAGTTTTTGGATATCTATGGTTTATCAGCCCCATTGCTTTAGGCCCTGTGCCACGTCCTGGCCAACAGTGCATGGTGGACAAAGCTGCTCACGATGGCCAGGAAGCAAGAAAAGACAGAAGGGGCTGGAGCGCCACTGTCCCCTTTAAGGGTGCACCCCAAAGATCTGAGGGCTCCCATTAGCCCTGCATCTTAAAGGTTCCACCCATTCCCAATGGAATCATAGGTTGCCAAAAAGCCTTTTGCTCATGGACCTTCAAGGAATATTCCAGACCCAAATAATAGCGGTAATTTAGCTCTTACTCTGTCCAGAGTTTGCTCCATGACAAGCCTTTCCCTATCATTCCCTCAAACACTATCAAAGAATTGGGTCATCCAGACAGTGACAGTTTTTTCTCTGAGATACTTTGCCACGTGCTTCTAGACTAATTTTCTGTCCATTAAACTGGCCCCCAATCACCCAACAGAGATTGGTCTGAATGGATAGCTATCTTTTAAATCTGCAAGCTTCTTTGAGCTCTGGGACAATAAATTAAAACAAAGAAATCCCATCACAAACCACTGAGGGATGTCCCCACGGCTTATCAACTACATATTAAGATCTTTGAATGTGACATATGTGAACCCTTCCTATTTTTTTCCAGTTTTTATTTTTCATTAGTACACGTTTGTAGATCATAATGTTTACCTTCCTTATGAGGAGTGAATACTTGTACATAACACATCTCTTCTTTTTTCATACCGTTTCCTTTCCCTCCCCTCCTTTTATCTTTTGATCCCCTTCCCATGTGAGAAAGACCTAGCTCCCTATTTCCTACTACCTGTCTTTTATTTTGTTTTTATTTATACTTCAGGTTTTTCATATAGGAGAAACCATGTAATACTTAAGGTTGTGTGTCTGATTTATTTCACTTAACAAAGAGCATCCGTTTTCCCACAAATGACTTAAATTTATCTTTATAACATAGTAGTACTCCATTAGGTGCAAATACCCCATTTTCTTTGCCCATTCATCTGTTGATGGACATATAGGCTGCTTCCAAGATTTAGAAATTAGGATTTGTGCTATTATAAACATATGCATGCAGCCGGGCGTGGCGGCACACACCTGTAATCCCAGCACTTGGGAGGCTGAGGCAGGAGGATCGTTGTGAGTTCGAGACCAGCCTGGGCTACAAAGTGAGCTCAAGGCCACCCTGAACTGCATAGCGAGACCCTGTCTCAAAAAGACAAGAAATAAAAAATAAAATAAACATATGCATGCAAGTTATCACTGTGATATGATATATTTAACTCTGTCTGGAAAATACCTAGAAGGGAAATAGCTGGGTCAAATGGAATTTCTAGTTTTAGTTTTTTGAGAAATCTCCATAGTGATTTCCATATTGGTTGTACCAGTTTACACTCCCACAAAAATGCAAGATTCCTTTTTCTCCACAGCCTCACCAGCATTTGTTGTTTGATTTCTTGGCAATGGCCATTCTTTCCGGGATAAGATGGAATCTCCATGTTGTTTTAATCTCACTGTTATATCTTGCTAATGGCCAGTGGAGCCTCCTTAAATGTACAACCCAGTCCGTAACTGAAGCAAAGAAGGTAGGCAGTCACATGAGGCACATGGGCAGACACCCAGCTCCCGGTGAGGTGTCGCTTGTGTGGCCACCTGGGCTATCCTTCCAAACAAGCCACACTTCCCTCCAGCTCCTGGGGATGTTGCTAAGATTCCCAGCTGAGTCCCTCTGCAGAAATGAGCATTAGTCAAAGACAGCTGCTCCTCTGGACTCTGCTGTCACAGTCTCATGCAGGAAATTCTGACAGCTGGCTGGAAGGTGGAGGAGGAAACCTGGTTTGTAGCTTGCCAAGGTACCAAGGTTCCTGCCAAAGCAGATTCCAAGCGACAACATAGCGCTGCCGAGTGGTGAACTGGAGAGTGATGAGGACCAGCAACTTTGCACACTGGTGGAAAAATGCCCGTCGAGTCACTGGTTAATGCAGGGGGCCACAGTTGTCCCCTTGTCCTAGGTGGGGCCACCATAGCTTTTCACCTCTTCGTGGCCTCAGCTGAGGCGTTAGCTGTGACTTCCCCACCTCAGCCCAGCCCTGCCTCCCTGGCTGCGCTGAAGAGCTGTCCATGTTGGGCTGTCTGCTCAGAGGCTTGGTCCCAGAGTCTGCTTCTGGGAAAACCTGGCCTGAGAGAACTGGCTATGGTTCCTGGCTGAATTCAACAAAACAGGTCCTGAAAAGGGCCAGACCCCAAGGGGATTTTATGATGGCGACAACTCCAGGAATGTCAGCAAGAGGGTAGTTATTCAAAGTACCGAATACATGGTAGGGCATGGGCATCTTGGAATCAGAACAGAGGCCAGCTGCAGCCAGCCAACCTACCTGGGCGAGTGTCACCAGCTGAGTGTCACCAGCTGAGTGTCACTCTGGATCTCAGTGAGCAATATTGCAGACATGGAGATGATATGAAAAGCGGGTTTTTGAACAGCTGGCCAATTCTGTCCTACAGAACTTTGTTTGCTGGATCAAAGGGACAAATGATAAAGTCAAGGTGTTCAGACAGATGTGGCCATTCGCTCAACTGTCTGCCTGACTCACAATAAAGTACTCAAGGTCTACCTCTCCTTGGAAAGAGGCATAACCTTCTTGACTCTGTTAGGCTCTGTCTCTTTTAAATATGTTGTTTTTAAAAAATGATTTCTTATCTAGTGACTGGTGTGATCTTTACACGTTAGGGGCTGAATTCCAAAACTCTGACTGAAAAAGGATCTCCTCTGGGTAAATCAGAATTTATTGTGAAGAATACTAGCAAATTTATATTCATGGGTAGAAACCAGGGGCAAATCAGATTGTGCGGGCCCTGAAGCATATATAATTTTGAAGCAGTTCTTTAAGGAAAGGGATATAAAAATTATAAAAATATGCTGGGCAGGGTGGCACACATCTGTAATCCCAGGACTCAGGAGGCTGAGGCAGGAGAATCCTAAGTTCAAAGCCAGCAGGGTCTTCATAGTGAATTCAAGGCCGGTTTGGACTACATAGTGACACGATATCCCAAAATAATAAAAATTATATGTGTGTGTGAATATTTAACACAAAGGATTACAAATTTCAAAAAGTAGCAAGTACCACAAATATCACAAATTATTTTTTAAATAGTATTTTTTCTAACTAAGGGTCTTATACTAACACAACTCTGTAATACTTTTTGGCCCACAATTTTTGGTGGTATGCTCTCTGATGACATCCATTTGTAATATTTTCCTACTGAGAATGCCAAGATATTTCAGCCTTACCCTTAGCATGGTTGATTCAACAATATTATTTTATTACTGATTATTTAGAAAAATTTCTTCTAAAAAGTTAATTGCTATTAGTAGTATCTTGTAATTACTTTAACAAGGAATCGTACCATTGGGAAACATATACCTAGTCTGGTTTATCAAGCTGCCCAAGATGACAAAAAATACCATAAAGTCTAGAAAAAAATAGTTTCAAATTTATAAGTTCAGTAAGGCACTTTTTGGAAGCATATTTGCATATTCACTTTAGAAAAAACTAATGTTCTCATACTGGGAAGAAGGCACTTGGAAATAAAGTTCTGACACATTTCGAAGTTCCTAAATTAACTCATTACAGATTTTTTCCCACTGATCGATAAGTTACCTGTTTTATTGCAAGTAGAGCGCTGGTTGAGGTGGCAGCATGCCACTGGGCTGTCCCGTCCTGACCAGCAACCCATCTTCCCCCATCCCTCCCTCCCCTCTCTCCCAAAAGTCTACATCATCACCATTAGGCTCAGGTGGCCCCACACACCCACGTCAGAACTTCAGAAAAACTGAGAGAAAGGTTCTCCCTAGAGGATCCACAGTCCTCTGTGTGAGCTAGTGTTTCTTAAAAAATGAGAAATTGCTTTTGTGGAAAAGTTCTCCAGCTCGTGGACAGAAATCCCACGGGTGTTTATCTGGACAGAGGAATCTCTCGCTTCATTTCTCTTGCAGCCTAAGAGTGGCTAGTGGATAATTTTCTGTAGTTGTGGAACCGCTGCAAAATGCGTTAGAATTCCCACTGTAATTGAAACAGAAGGGTGAGACTGAATGATAAAGACAAACAAAAGGAGCAAATAACATCGTTACTTTATATGCTAGCTATGGCTTTTGCAGCACCTCTGGAGACAACCTGTCCTCCTATGGGAAAATAGAGTAACCCAGCTAAAAGACACAAAGACCTCTCAAAAAGAATGTTTATTATTCTTTTTGACTGCTCAGTATAGGAAGCTCTTTCTTGTATGTAACAATATTCTCACCTGCTGTGGTTTGGATAAGCTCCCCCAAAGGTGGATGTGTTAAAAGGTTTAGTCACCAGCCCCTGGCACTGTTAGGAGGAAGTGGACCCTACAAGAGGTGGGTCTTAGCGGGAGGCAGTTGGGTCATTGGGAGCGTGCCCTTGGCAGAGATGTTAGGATCTCAGCTCCCTCCTTATCCTCTTTCTTTCACAACCAACCATGTGCTTTGAATCTGTGTTTTTTTCCACACAGGCCCAAAAGCAATGGAGCCAACCAACCATGGGCTTACGCCTCCACAAATGTGAGCCAAAATAAACCTTTTCTCTTCCCAAGTTGATGATCATGAGGATTTGTTACCGTACTGGAAAGCAGTCTAACACCCCCAGATGGGTCTGAGATGTTGGCTGGCAGTGCCAGATGCTTGCTTTCCCAGGCTTCCTTGTAGCCAGCACACAGGCAGGTAGTCACCCAACCTTACCCACCTTGACCCCAAGCACAAGAAGCAAGAACAGTGGAGCATGCTTTTTCTCTGACATCTTCAGCCACCTTGTTTCAGGAATGTGTCTTTTGGCCCAAAACTCTCTGCCAAGTCAGAGTCTCCCAGAAGCAGTCTGGGATCTAGGCTTTGAAGACCCGTTGTTTATTTGGAACACTAGCTTAGGAAGTACTGATCAGGAAGTTAGGGAGCTGTAGTATATCTTATCCAAAGGGTCACTCCTGTGAGCATCTGAGCTTTGGTCCCACTGGGGTCCCTAGGAAATGGATTAGAGCAAGACCCAGGGTTACCCCACTGAGAGAAGGGATGGAAACGATGCCTCAGAGCTGGTCTGGGGAAAAACCCAGTCCTGCTACCACAGAACTCCAAGTGTAGCAGTTTCATGATGGTCTTACCTGCACCTGAGAAATCTAGACTCCTAGCCCATGTCATGGACTAAATCTACATGTCCCCTCCCCCAGTCCTGAATCAAAGCCCTGACTCCAGTGTGGCTATATGTGAAGTAAAGAAGTAATTCTGGTAAATCAAGTCCTAAAAGTGGACCCTGATCCATCCAGTGTCCTTATGGAAGAGCCACCAAAAAGCCCACAAGGGGAGGTCATCTGAGGCCACAGGAAAAAGATGGCCATCTAGAAGCCAGGAAGAGAGCCCCTCAGTGGAAATCACATCCTCCAGAACCTTGATCTTGGACTTCCACCCCCGAGGACTCTGAAAAAAGTAAGTTGCCCAGGCCATGGTATTTTTTTATTGCCACCTGAACTGACAAATATGTCCTCTGCTCCCCTTTGTCCTGAGAGCACCGCCACTCAAGCCTGTGCCACTTCAGGTAGGTGGCACACTGTCTGAGGCAGCCACTGGGTGAAGAATCATGACGACTTTCAGAAACCCTAACTGAGGAAGGGGCTGTGAGTACCCAGGGGCTACGGGTAAGACCATCAAGAAACTGCTACACTGAGAGTTCTGTGGCAGCAGGACTGGGTTTTTCACCAGACCAGCTCTGAGGCATCATTTCCATCCCTTCTCCGGGATGCCCAGCCTCATGCCAGGTGCTGGCTCTCCAGGATTCAGCAAACCACTTTCTCATTAATCCCTCTTTGTTTCTGTTGCTTGCAACTAGAAATACCCGCTGTGCACTCCAAGTTAGATCTTTATCAGTTTCCTCTGTATCTTGCCATCCAAAACTGCAACAGCAAAGATAACTATTTTATCTGAAACAAGGCAAATTCACAGATGGCCCTGAAGGGACCTCCCCCCGCCCTGCAAAATGAGTTTAAGGCATCTACCTCAAATATGTATCAAATAACCTTAACATTTTATCATGTAACCCAGCGCTTCTGTTGCTAGCACATCTGTGGTTTAAAAAAGATTGGATAAGAGCTAAAAGATGAATACACAATAATTTTTCAAAAGGATTATGAATAATAGCCAAAAAATTACACACAAATCAAAGGTCCAAAACCAAAGTATTTAAATTAATTATAATATATGTATAGTAGAATACTTTGCAGCTATTAAAATGACATTATATAAGTATGTTTTTAATATGAAAAAATGTTCAATAAAAGAGCAATTTGCAGAACAGTATAATTAGTGGGATCCCATTTTTGGGAGAAAAAAATATATACACATCTTAAGAAAATGTAAACAGAATACACACTAATATATTAATGAAGTTATACTTGGGGAGAAGAACAAAGGTAATTTTTGTTTTCACCTTACAGTTAAATGTATGTATAACAGTTCAATCAGAAGCATTAGTTACTTTCCAAATTTTTACATCAAAGTAATACCTACTCCTCTTCATTTGCAAAGATGTTCTAGAGTAAGAAAGTGACTATCACTAAAAATTGTACAAATGTACTTAAGGAAATCTTCCATAGAAAAGATATATGAAGATTGTATTAATCAGCTTTCCCATTGCTGGACAGGGTACTTGACACCCACAACTTAAAGAAAGGTTTAACCTGGCTCAGAATTTCAGATGATTCAGTCCATGGTCAGCTGGCCCAAAGGTAAGAACATCTTGGTGGAAGGGGTTAGCCAAGCAAGGTTGCTTAGATTATGGTGGTCAGAAAGTAGAGCAGGGAAACAGCACCAGAGAGGAAAGAGTGAGGGATCAGATACAGTACCCAAGGTCAACCTCTATGTCCCATCCAGACAGACCCTGAAGTGTGCTTTACTATTCCCTGAGGAAGTGTCCATGCCAATCAAGTTGACACTATTAAGCTTAACCACCACAAAGATCTTCAAGACAAGTAAGCATATAATTTAACAATGCATTACTAAAATTTCTTTGATTAATATCAGCAGGCATAAAAATAGTATAGAGATTATGCAGGAACAATTAGCTATCAAGTGTGACTCAATATGGGAATTCATTCAGTGCTAAAATACAAATCAAAAACTGTCTTCAGCATCAGTTGAATTAAGATGTTCTGGAATAAAACCAGACCATGAGATCAAAAAGTCCTGGCCAAAAAAATAGTCACTGGATTATATACAAATATTAATAAAAGTGGTAGATATTACTGATATTGTAACTGCTGCTATCAGAACACATTCAGATCCTAAGGAGACAAATAAATAAGTAGCTCTGCCAGAAAAATTAAAGCAAACATGTAAAATACTGCTAAATTATGTTCTGTTGCCCTGGCAACTCCAAGGCATTGAGAAGTAAGTTATTTGATACTTTATGGAACTTGGAATTTATCGTGGGTTACTAATAATTCTTGAATCATTCTTCGCATTTACTTGTCATATGATCAAAAGATTTTTTGACTTTATAGTCATGTATTTAGCTCCTAGTGAGGTAGAAACCAGACTGCTCCTCACCATTCTTTACCCCCTTGCACCTCCCTAATGAGCTCAGATTTGGATTGGGTATGGAGTCTCTGCATACATAGCCTGCACTCTCCTCTCTTCTCCACTTTGTTCAGCCCTGGGAGACTGACCTCCACGGACTACACCATAGACTCCTGCGACCATGAGCTTCCAGTAGGGACTGGCCGATGGGGAGCCCCTACAGGAGAAGGTAGGTACTTCCTCTCCACTGAAGATTTGAAGAGATTCAGCCAAGGTTGCACCCACTCTAAAGTGGTGACAGACCTTCCTGGTTGAGGTCAGTTGGGATTCCAAAGAAAGAAACCAGAAATACTGGAGTGATCAGTCCATAGTATTTATCAAGGGAATTTGCACCATGCCATAGTGTCCTCACAGTGGACAGCAGGAGAAGGATGTTCTACCTACATGTCCAGGTGTGGAGTTTCTATGAGGATTTAAGGAATTTGGCTCAGGGGCAGGACTAGTTTCTGTGAGTGTTTTGGCAACAACCTAGATACCTTTATTAGCACCAAGAATGTTCAAGGTCCTGGCTTGGGTTCAAGTCCTCGGGTTCAAGTCTTCTGGAGAAAACCTGCAGCTGGCTGCTCATAGAAAGACAGCAGACCACAGACCAGGATAGCTATTCCCTGGCTCTCTCTTGTAGGCTGTCTGTGTCTCTCAGCCTAAGGGGCTGCGACCAGAAGCAGCCTCTCCACAGAGGTCTGACCCACTTAGAACATCAATCTAAGTTCTGGAAACTACTCACCCAGCCACCTTCAACCTAGGGACACTAAGGCTGTGCAGGCACTAATAACAGGGTACTGCAATCCTGTGTGAATCTCTGCATGCCTCCCATCTGTAAATAGCCACTGTATTCATCTCTCTTCAGATTACTGAATTGAGTATGTCATCTCTTTCCCAGAGGGACCCCTGATCAACCTGTATGTCTTGGGGAAAGCTGGCCCTGCTTCAGAAACTCACCATGGCTTGTTTAAGGCAATCAGCAAATTCCATTCTGTTGACTAAGGAGGGGGCAGAAGCCACAGGTCCAGGGTGGGTGCAGTCGCTCAGTGACAGTTATTGGCCCCGCCGACCTGGTAACCCATGGCACTTGTCCACATGAGGGAGGTTTGTCTCTTGCTCAGTCACAGAACATGAGCTGGGAGGGGTCTCCCCAGAGCCATCAGAGCCTGGCTGCTTTCACCCAGGGTCACCAGCATGCCTGCGTGCTCAGTGCAGTGGGAGGAGCAGGTGCAGGCAGGCACCAGGCCCAGAAGTCAGGTATGTGCCTTCCACCAACATTCCCCAGGGCCGGAACTGAGCCAGAGGCCAAGCCCGGCCACAGGAGGCTGGGAAATGCAGTGTACCTGTGTGGCCGGGAAGCAAAGGCAGCAAGTGGATGAACCCCGAGCCGGTCTCTAACTCATTCTCCAGCAAGGGGAGGCTGTATCTGCCAGAACACACCCG